AGGGTTTAGGGTTCCGGGCGAGAGAAGCCTGCTGCAAAAGCGTTTGGTTTACAATATGCGGTTTAGGAGTAAGGCCAGGCGGAAATGGAGTGCCCCTTTCCCCTAAACTTTCCTAAACCTAAACCCTAAACCCTAAACCCTAAACCCTAAACCCTAAACCCTAGGCGTCTCGGCCCAGGTCTGTAGTTTCTCTCTAGGGAGTCCAGATTCTGGTGCCTTGGCCCCAAGCGTGGCGCTCATCCCTTTGTGGTTGACGTGCCCGCGTTCTTTCAGCAGCGTGGCCCATCGGGAGCTGCTTACTTACGGTTCGACTGTACGCCCTGCGAGGTCGTTCCGTTCCAACCTCACCTCCGGGTGACTGGTTTCTTCTGCGCCTGAGGGGAGTGGCGCCCCTTTTCATCCACTCGTCCCCTTTTTACAAGGGACGACGATTGCCCCACTCGCTTGGAACGCGAGCTGGCTGGCACGGAGAGGCCTGTGCATGCGCGGCATCCAGGCCCTTTTCCTGGTGATATATTGTGCTGCAGGACAGCCCCTTTTCTTCTACGACGGCGAGGAGCAGCAAGGGGGAACCGGCAAGGCACAGGAAACAAAGGAGGCTCAGGACAAGGGCAAGAACCTTGTTGCGGGCCACTCTTGCTGGGTGGGTCAAGCCTGCTCAGCGAGTCCTCCGCAGCGCGACCAGCATCCTGGAAACACATCATTCGAGGTCCAGTTTGCCATCCCGAACTCGACCTACGATGTCCTGGCAGTGCAGTTCGTGCAAGCAGTGGGCGAAAGCCACCGCTGCTTTCTGCCCACAGTGTGGTGCCGGACGCCCCAGCTACGCGTCATCCAGCTACGAGGGTCCCTGCCAGGATACTGGCGAGCGCATGGACAGCTGGCCGCCAGGTTTTCTTGAGGGTGCTGTCCCTTCTGTCTGTAAGGCGGATGAGAACGCACTTCCCAATGTCTATGCGGAATCTTTAGGGCCCACCCACATGGGTATATGTAGCGTAGGCCGTAACCGACCTGTGCCACCTGTTGTGTGCACGGTCTGCAACCAAGTCTCCCAGGTTCTGCCAGGATCTCACAGGCTCCCAGGCACGACAAAGGCAGCCAAGAGTGGCCTGAAGCGCACACCGTCCGGTCTTCCCCTCCGTGCCTGCTTTAATCGGGGGTGGACACAGCGCGGCAACGCGCTTCGCAGACAGTTCAATAGCCACTGTATGGGCCCCGAGGCCCCGGCAGGCCTTGCAAATAACGTGGCTGGTGCAGCCTCTTCACCGAATGCCAAGGGCCCCCAGTCGCAGAGTGTGCAGCACCCGGCTCGCACCTCACCTGTCCACCATTGCCCATGCCCGGCACAGCAGCCACAATGCGCCTTTTCTCCAGCGCATCCGCGAAGGGCCGTCTGCCTTGCAAGTGACAATCGCGGCGACTGTGCAAGTGAGACCAGACACGCTGGTGCTTGCCCAGCCCATCCGCGGATTCCCGGCGCCACAACTTGTCCTTACCCCTGCACCGGCCGGGGCCCACATGTCCGTGCCTTTCGACTGTCGCCCGTGCGGTGGGGGGGTCTACACCATTGTGACCCCCTTCACCTATACCACCACCCTCAAGCCATGCAGGCGGCAGATGTCACGGCGTCCGGCAGGCTTCTCACAGGCAGGGACATTGATGATCTACTCCTTGTAGATCAGGGAGGCCGCACAATCCTGGGCGCAATCCCCTTCGATGCTATTGAATGGCTGGAGGTGAGACGCGCTGATGCCGACGCTGAAGCGGACGACCACACATTCATGCAGGTGCAGGTCTGGCAAGGAGACGCGGCACCACGCCTGGGGCAGGCAGTGAGGTCAGCAGGCGATAATAAGATGCCTAATGGAGTTCGCGCCCGTCAGGGCCACCCGCCGCATGCACACCCAGGAGCCGACCCGGAGTACGACGCGGAAAGGAGACTTGCCCTTAAGATCCATGGGCCCCCCTTGTTCTCTAGCCGCGCGGACGGCGACGCCGACTCACACCTTAGGGATAGGACTCCTAGCCGAGAGTGTGTCGCCATCGCACCCTGCCCGCCTTCGGCAAGGGAGCGCCGCTTTTACACCATCCTGGAGGCGAGGCTGGAATACCGCAGGCGCCCCTCGCCCACGGACTGGACAATATGGCAGCATATCAATGACGCCATAAGGCAAGTGCCAAACCCGGTTTGGCAGGCTTTCGTCATCACGGCACAGCTGCCGGGTTTCCCTGGCCCACAGATCACCCTTTCTTACGCTGACTCCCCGCAACCTGGGCGTGCACTACCGGTCGATCTCCGGCTGGTCGGGGGTGATGTGCATACAGTTGAGCTGCCGTGGCAATGCGATGCTTCCACTGTATGGGCGGCCTTGCAGGAAAAGGGGGCGGACCTCCCAGGTCGCTGGCCGGAGGTCCAAAGCACGGGGTCGTTGTCCTTCTTTGACCATCTGGGCGAGGAGATCACCACGTGGGACCTTGCCGGTGACACTATCCAATGGGCAAGCCTGCGAGCCACACACGGGGAGGCGACAGACTTTGACTGGAATACTGTCATAGCCAGCATGTCTACTGCCACAACAACTGCGGTAGCAACTGAGGACACAGCGGATGCCCCACCCTCGTTGTTGGGCATCAGGCCCTACTACGGGCCCGCCTTGGCTGCTCAGGTTCAGATCTTTCCTCAGTACTTGGCAAACACAGCCCTCCATGCAATGACCGCGGCCAGCCTGCATTTGCACGAGGGCCGCATGCAGGCGAACAGCGACCCTAGGAGGTGCTCCCTGTTTAGCGGCAGGGACCCACTCTGCTTCCGAAAATCCGAGGATGACTGGACCGTCGGCCAGTACATCTCGGATGCCGCAACAGGCGCACAGGCAAATGTCCGTAGTGTGCAGATTCTCAGCCTTCTTCTACACTCCCTGCCGACCCCTCAGATTGTTACCACCCCGCTTGACCTGCCAACCGGATCCTCGATGGTCCCCGTGGACGCCAGATGCATCGGTGGAGGCATACATACTGTCGCACTGGAGGCAGGCATGCCAGCGGCTGAAATTCTTGAGGCGCTGGCCACCCAGGAACCCCATCTCTGGACGACGTTGCAGCACCTGACAGCCATTGATGCAGTGTTTCTCCAGGATGCGACTGGCAACGTCTGGGACCACTGCCCGGAGGAGCCGACGTGCCTACAATGGCTGGCAGTCCGCCTCGATAACAGGATTAGCCATCTGCCTCCTGGATTTCAGCCCCCGCTTCCACTTGAAGGCACGACCATGGTGCACCTCCACCACGGGCGCGATGGCAGCTTATCGCGGCGAGCACCTCGTCACTATTGTCCTGTCCGGAGGCGGAACGGTGCTCCGTCTGGCACCTCAGAGAGTGTCACAAATCGACGTGGCTGCCAGTCTTACAGAACTTCTGCTGGTGCTGGCGGCCCACGGGCGATTGCCGAGAGAGCCCGTCCTCTCAATCGCCGCCGCAATGCCGCGCACCACAACACAGCCGCGCCATGTCCTTGTGGGATTCATCGTGCAGGGTTTGGCCGAGGAAGACCATGAAGTTATAGTGCTCCAAGACCAGAGCCACGACGGCTCCTTGCTGACGGCTTTCACTTTGGACACTAATGTCATGCCCGAGCACATGCTTGCCCCGGCCCAGACGCGCCGCGGTTTCTCCATTGCACTGAACGGCTCGCCCTTGCAAGGTTCTCGCAGAGTCCTCCGGACGGGAGACCTCCTGCAGCTGCAGCAGGGGACCCACTCAGCACGGGTATGGACAGCGGCTTTTGTCTTCCAGTTGATCCCGGCCCTGCGACTCTTCGCCTTAAGGATTCGCCTCCCAGGGATGCGGCGCTACACCAGTGGTTCCCTCATGCCAAGAGCCGCACAATCCGCGAGGCGTTATCCCAGGCGATCCAGCTCCGCATGCTGGAACAGACCCTTGATCTGGGGGAGCCGGGACGGAACAGCCACCCCGTGCTAGTTCTGGGTCCAGGCCACGGACCCCTTCTCCTTTACATCCCTGCGGACAGCGTGCCCGACGCACAGGAGGTCGCAAGGTTCCTCACTTTCTCCGGCCTTTTCGACCCGGGTACCGCATATGTCTTAACCAGTGCGCAATCCGGTACGGTTCCGGTGGTTGTCAGTGTCCCAAGACGATCTGAGGTGATGACTGTTTTGTATCCGTTACCAGACGAGACCGATACTGTCCTGCAGCTTTTCATCCCCCCTGAGACCCCTTTACACAATCTTGGTGTCCTGTGCCGCCGAGGATGGAGCTCGTCTACCCGGCCGCCGTCACCCATGGGGCCGTGATACGAGAGCGAGCCCAGCCTAGAAACTCCGAGAAGCT